AATGGTTATTTTGCTAATGAACATAAGTATGGGCTAACATTTTCTCTCGCTTTATTTTCTAATTTAAATACTAATTCCGTCATTTATTTGTTTTACATATGTAATCTGCTCAAGTCCCCACAGACTTTATCCTTGCATTTTCCTTGGGCCACGGAGGATCAATTTTAGTTTATTTGAGTCAGCGAGCCGTAAAAATTGACGAACAGGTCTCGGAGTTGAAAGAATATGCGACAGATCGAAAGATTGAAAAGATTGGGCCAAAGGCCTAATCTTTATAAAAAGATTGTATTTTGTTATTTGTTGGGCCTAAGCCCATTTAGTCATTATTATTATTTATGTTAGAAGTTTAGGACAGGTGAAAAAATTGGGCATAAGGCCCAAAGATAAAAATATATTTCTTTTATGTTAGTTTAGGACAGGTGCAGGTGACTCAAATGGGCCCAAATACTGGCCTAAGCGGACAGGAAAATCATATTTGGGCCCAAGTCTCTCTCTTATTTTACTGTGTTTGTTTACTCGTTATCATCTGCTATTAATCTTAAGGTTTTTAAAAAATTCAAATTCCCAAAAGACACCCGTTTTGAATTAATCACTTAACTAAATTATTCGTCTTTTACTTGACTTAAAATAAATAAATAAATAAATAATTTTACAAAAATACTTCACTTAGATAATATTTCATTTTTTTTCTCCCTTAAAATGGTCCTAACTATAAAATTGTTCAATTCAAATTAAGTCAAATAAAAATTAGCCAAATAGTTAATTACCGGATAACCGCATATTAGCGGACATTTCGGGTGCTTCCAAACCCTTCCCGAAATGCTAATATGAACCCCGAATCTCCTTTAAATATTTTCAATTGATTTCTGTTTTAATCTTTTGAAAAAATCAGTTTTCTTAATTTCCCTTTAAAAATTAAGTAGTGACTCTTAAAATCAGTCTAAATATATTTTCTTAATAAAACAATACTCTTTCCTAAAAGAACACAATTATTTTGAACAAGTATATATATAATTTGGTAGTTTCATACTAGTCATACCATATACTAGTAAAACAGAAACTCAGCAACCACATTATCAAATATACTCCAAGAATTTGTGGGTCTAATATAATGCAACAACATCATTAAATTTCATATCTTGTGCTCCAAATTTAAATTTAGACACTAAATCTAATTTTATCTTTAGCATAAGCAAAGAAACCCCACATTTTAAATATGATCTCAAAAATATATTTCAAGTATTTGAAAATAGTTTTTCCACATATTTTTTCTCATGCTATCAAAATGTCATTGGCAACATGAAACCTCTTTTGAAAATATTATTCTACAAAAGAATTTTAGTACTTCAATTCCCTTTGACAATTTTTACACAACGTCAAAGTTCATTCCATAGAGGCACAAAATCACAAACTCTAAGTCATTGGTATTTTTCCTCTATCACAAATAGATATACCACTTAGTATTTAAAATACTAACAATAAAGACAAAAAAATTGTACAATTTATTTCTATATAACAGTATAGAAAATCAAAAGTACAGCACTGACTTATTATGTGAAGTTTTCATATTCTTCAAACCAATTACATAGTCTAATTTATCCAGAGTAGAAAACTACAAAAGTTTTTAGTCTACAAAAATCAGACACAATAAAATTTCACATGGAGTACAAAACTACAAAAGTTTTTATTTCTTTTTTTTTAGTATCCAAACAGAATAAAATATATTCTTAGATTATCACATAGATATACTTTTATTTTCAACTAGCCTTCCAACTATAACATTTTGACATACTATTTTGGCGGAATGATCTGAGAGACCCTTATATTTGGCTCCGTTCGTCAACTGGACCCTTCTACTCACGACTTTGTCAACTGATCACTTAAAGTTATTAAAACACACTATTTTAAACCCCTCTGATCATGTGTGTCTCTCAATTGCGCTGATGTGGATAACACCTCACTATCCATATCAGATATTTATTGTCACGTAATTTTTTTATTATAAATAATATTTTTTAAAAGAAACCTCAAACTAATCTCCAAAATCATTTCTTTCTTGATTTCTTTCCATTTTTTCTTTTCTTGCCATATATTTAATCTATTTTGCTACTTAGATTTTATGTTATTGTTCATTTATTTTTTCCTGGTGAATTTTTTACGTTGAAGAGGAATTAGAGATAAGCAAAACTTTGTTATGTTTTTTATTATAAATTATGTTGTTTAAATGGTGGCTAGAAATAAAGTGACTAAAATGGAGGATGAGAGAATGAAAATAAGGAGACCAAAAATGGATCATTATAGAAAAACTCTTCCAAAATGCTCTCAATAAAATTGTGTTACATTTAGAAAGAATCAAACATATGTTTTTCAAAAACACATCTAAAATTCACATCTATTTCACAATTTAGAACCTTTTTTTCCCTCTCTTTTACCAAAATCTAAATAAGTATATTTTTCCCCAATCATTGTAGAACTCTCAAATGATAGGAAGAATATGAGAAGAGAAAGAGGAAGAATTGTGTGTAAGAGCATTGGAAGAAATCGAAGAAGATATAGGTGTTGGGCAGTGGCGGAGCCAGACATTTTATGAAGGGTGTGCAAAATTTTAAAAGTAACCAACAAAATATTTAGTGAGTTTTGACTAACAAAAAATGATGTTAAAAACGTAAAGTTAGCAAGAATTGAACCTTCGACCTCAGGCATCAAAGCTTCTAACTCGCTCTTTACCACTGAGCCAAGGGCTCTAATTATGTCCAGTGTGTGCAAACTTATGTATATATTAACAATTTCATTAATTTGACCTATATATACGGTATAATTTTTCGGTGAAGGGTGTTCACCTGCACACCTATCACTGGCTGTAGCTCCGCCCCTGGTGTTGGGTAAAATTATGAGGACGAAGAAGAAGAAATGTACAACATATTGGGAACGGAGTTTTCTTTTCTTTTTTTAAATTTTTTTTAATTGTTATTTTTTTCTTTTAATTTAAATATTTTTTTAAATTTAAATAATTGTCTTCACTTGCTTTTAATCGTGTGTAACCACGCTCTTGATCCAATTCAGCAAAAAAATGTCACATAAGCTTAGTCAACGGTCAAAGGGGTTAAAAATAGTGTGTTTTAATAACTTTAAGTGTTCAGTTGATAAATTCGTGAGTAGAAGGGTCTAGGTGACAAACAGAGTCAAGTACAAGGGTCCTCAGCTCATTCCGCCTACTATTTTATCAAACTAAAATATGTATATCTCATTCCGCAAACTAAAGAATTTTAAAGTCAACACTATTTGCCAAGGAAAATTCATTCAAAAACATATGATTTGCAGATCATTTTCCAAAGACACACATGATAAATGTCAAAAGAGTTAACTTTTAGAAACTATTTTCCTCCTTAGATTAATAATAAGAAGGTTACCTGTGTAATCTTAACCGAAATACCACCAATTTTTCTGGTACATTCTCACTTCGACCTTTCTAAACAAGGCACTGAGTTCTGAAGAAGTAGTGCATTAATCTTCTACTTTCGTGATCTATTTCTCTCAATCAGTAGAATACAAGAAATACCAACAGTATAGTAATTTCCTTAAGATTGTTGTTCATTTTGTATTCCTAAGATACTTAGAACAAAACTTTAAAGAACTTGATAAGAAACAACAAAGTTTAAAGAGTATTTTCAGAACTAGAAAATTAAAACTAGTAGAGAAAATAGAATCAGAAACAGTTTAGAAACAATATACACAATATTTTTCTCAAAGAAAGAAAATCGAGTCCACTGAATGCACAGTGTCCCCTTAAGGAAATTATTCCCCTCAAGTACCTGAGGTTAATGGAATATATCCTCCCAGGATAGAACGATCTTACTCACCGGTGTATCGGTACCTAAAACCACGGTGTCAGCGAACCACTCAATGACAGTAAAGTACACTTAGAATATTAGATTTAGTAGTAGTCGAAGAAGTCAAGAAAATTCATTATCTTAAAATGAGAGGAAATCCCTCAATTTATAGCAAGCAAAGGGTAGTGTGAAAAAGGTTCTTATTGTGCCTTACCGGAAATGTCACAACCCTTTGGAAAAGTCACAATCTTTCAGAAAGGTCACAACATTTTATATAAGTCACAACTTTTCATAAAAGACACAACTTTTCATAAAAGTCACAGCTCTTCATAAAAGTTGAAACTCTTCGTAAAAATCGCAGCTCTTCATAAAAGTCTCAACTCTTCATTTTTCATTCACACCTTTTAAAATTCAACAATTATTTATAAAAGACACATGAAGACAGTGGCGAATTTAAAGGCAAAAAATAAGGCATCGGAACCCGTGATTTCTTCGTAAAACTAGATATTTTATGTATATATTTTCTAAAACTTGTATAATATTATATTTTGGCACTCATACTATAAGAAGTCTAACTGGTCCATATGGTTAAATGTTAGGCTTTTGACCTTGAGGACTCAAGGACCAATTCCCACTTAGTACATTTTTCTTGGTGCACCAAGTTCGGATCAATTCCTACATTCGCCTCTGCATGAAAATATACTATTTATTAATGCACAGCCTCTAGGAGAATCAGATACCTTATTTATAAACTATAATTTGTTCATTTGGTAAAAATCGTATTTAATAATGTTTACAAATTATGGAGACTTCTATATATAACAAAAATACAACCTGAAAATTCAAATAAAAAAATGATAGATTCGCCTCTACATGAAGATATACGATTTATTAATGCACAATTCTTAGGATAATCTCATACCTTATTTATAAATTATAATTTGTTCACTGGTAAAAATTGTATAAAAGTATTACGAAGTTCTAATAATTTTTACAAATTCTGGAGATTTCAGGTCTATATATGAAGGGGGGAAAATACAACCTAAAAATTCAAATGACATGTCAAAATAAAATTTCAACTTCGAATCAGATTTCAAATTATGTCAAAATAGTACTGTCTTCCGTGAAACTCCATGAATAATTGGTGATTATTTTACAAAAAAGAGGAAATTAAGAAAAGTGAGCGGGCAAGAAGAACCTCTGCCTCTTGCTTTTAATTCTGTAATTTGATGTAGAAGGGGATATAGCAATTCTAGAGAGGACAACTCTGAGTGATCTTTTGAGAGAATTCATGCAAACATCATTTGCAGAATTTTGATTAGGACAAAGCATAAACACACCTTTAATTCTCCCACCCAAACTAGTTATATCAGCCCCCATCACTGTTAATTTCAGATTCTTAATTCCCCGTTGTAGCTCTGAGAATAATTCAGGTCGATCATCGCAACAAAAAGAGGCCTTAAGAAGGCACCCTTTGTTTTCTTCTTCCTCATTTAAATGCTCAATTGTTACTTCATCAATGTCAGTTGGAGTGTTTAACACTTTGCTGATTTCTGCTGTTTTGCCTTTGAGATCCTTAACATGATCAACTACAGTTCCTAATAGAGCTGCCTTATCCATCTGCTTCAAAGAGGGCTCACAGTCATTAATTCGGTAATCATGTCATCTAATATCTATGTCTTCCAACTTTAAATGTGCATAAATAAATATTTAAATTTGTATATAGTTGAATAAGTAAACTTGGAATCTTATGTGGCAATTCACGTCACAGTAGTATGTCACATATTCAACTTTATATAAATTTAAATGTCTACTTGTACACATGAATTAAGTGACGTAGAAAATAAGACAAGTAATCAAATTACCTGCTATGACTAGTAACTACACTTATATTGTACTATAAATCATTTAGATTGTCGATGTATAGAAGTGAATATCAGTAATTCAGTCAGTGTATATTTACCTTTTCAGAAGTAGGAATGAGTTTTCTGAGAGTAGAAAGCTGAGCATTAATTCTGTCTCTGCGTCTTTTTTCAGCTTCACTGTGGCTCCTAGTAGCACTTTCTCTTCTCTCTTGAAAGGATTCATGAGAGCATTGAATTTGAGGGAAATAACAAGGAACCTGTGGCAGTAAATATACTGAATCTTGATTTTCAGGCCAATATTCTGAACAAAATGAATTCTCCATCAATTTTCTGTTACTTTTTTCTATTTCTCAATCTAAATGAAATTGATACTCTTAAATCTTTTAAAGAACATTAGAAGTAATTGGATGTCACTGTTGTACTTACGCGTGTTGTTCAACGAGTGATGCTGATTGGTCTAATTGGTCATGTGAAAATCTTATTTGGATTTTATCAATTATGACAAATTGGCAATGTCAATTCAACTTTACAATTTTTTTCCTGGATTCCTTTAACAACAGAAATCTTTGATAGATATAGGATCTTAAATGTCCAAGGCATTTACACTTCTAGGCCACTATATATATAAGGTAGAAAAAGAACATGGCCATTTGCTGACTCACCTACTGCTGATTTGGATTTGATTTGGTTATACTAGCCCCCAGCAAAGGGGGATTTAAAATTTAAAATTATGATTTTGACTCTATTTATCTGTTGTTTGAGCTGGACGTAATGATTTTTGTTGAATCGGGTTTAAGATCTGCCATGAGAATTAGATTAATGGATTTTTAATAATGAATAAAAATAAATTAATATATCATGATTAATTTGCCATTATTGTATAATAAGGTTAAATCAAAATGTCATGATTAATTTGACATTAATGGATAAGTATGAACCACAATGTCAAAGATTAATTTTCCAAGATTGGATAGGCAAAAGCGAGATTCACACTTGAGAAAGGCCTTTTTTTGCACAAAGAAATTGGCCCAGATTTTTCAACCACTCGATCACTAACTAATTAAATTGTCGAGAAAACACATCTGAATTTAAGGTAAATTATTAGTTTCGTTTTTGAATTATTGACAACTTTAAAAATATCATTTATTTGATTAATTAAACTTATATACACTCTCAATCTGTCACATGACATAACAAGTGGTCTCAATCTCTTGTAGGAGCATGAAACTCTTAATAAAAAATCAAGAGAAGTGTTAAAAACACTCATAAACTTTAGAAGAATCTAGGGGCGTATTTCACTCATATTGTAAAATTAGAAATGTAATTAAATTCAGTTAATCAAGTAAAAAAGTATTTTTAAGACAATCAATAATTCTAATATAAAACTAATAATTTACACCAAATTTTAAAATATTTTCAATCTCTCTAAAAGGTTAAATCAACATTTGCTTGATGGATTTAGGGAATTAGACATGATTAAGAATAAGCAGATTAGATATTTTTCTATACTTAAAAAAAAAGAAGGAAGTTTGAATAAAATTGTCCTTGCACAAGAGGACAAAAGAGGTTAACTGGCAATCACCCATAATTCCATGGTATAGATAGGGTCACAATAACTCTGCCTGTTGTAACTTCAACCATAAAGAGGGCATACAAGATTTGATAAGACTAGCAATCTACCATTTCCCCTTCCCTGCAACCTTATATTTATCTTATTGAATGTGTGGTCTTCCTATCTTCCTTGCTACATTTTTCCTCTAAATTTTTGGTAGGTACTTCAAGTGCTGCTGCTACTTTGCTATTTTGTTGTCATGTTTTCATTTTTTTCTCTTATCTTGGTCCCATTGATATGTGTTCAATTATCCTGTATTCTTGTCGGTGACACCGAGAATGTGGCGTAAGATATACAAAATCTGTAGAGATACTCAAGTACAACGCCTACAATAGTGACACAAATTGGATGCACATGCAAGGAAATTCAGAATGATCCTTATTCTCTCATGTAAAACGTTAATCCAACCGTAAAGATGGTTGAAAGTTATCATGAATGTGCAGACAGACACTCGTTGCAACGCAGTACAAGCACAAGAACTCCTACTTAAACAAGCAAAGATACTATACATTTAACTTGATCAATCAAAATCATAAACCAAATATAAGGCAATAAGACAGTTCCATAATATAGTGTTGAAGAGCTGCATTTTTGTATTCAACTATACACGGCCATCCCTACTCACCGTCCACCTGAGATCTTCGGATTCATTAAACTGGCGCAAAAAGTATAATTCTTAGCCATGATAAAGAAAGCATATGTTGTACACAAAACTCTGCTCATCTAGGGTGCTAGTGGATGGCTGCTGGCTAGACCAGTACCATGTCCTGAAAACCCAAGGAAACTGGATATACGATGACCATCTACCTCAGTACTCGTTGAAATGGATAGCACCAACTTTCCACACAATGTATGTTGTAGCAAACATAACTGTGCTGATGAATACAAATGAAAATACAACAAGAAAGACATCGATTCCTCCTGGAAACTCAAAAGTCCATCCTGGTTTTGGCATCCCTCTTTTGCTATCATCAAACAGATTTGTAGGCGCCTCTGGAAGTCCAGATCTCATTTTCCCCTTCTCACTTTCTCGTAGGGCCTCAATTAGTTTGCTTCCCATCTGAGGTTTAGAGGTCTTTGATTCATTGTACCGGCTGAGAACCCTGGCTGCCCTAAGTTTCTCTCTTGCTGTCAATGGAGATCTCTTCAAGGTTGGTTTTGGACTGGAGGAAGATGCTTCCTCTTCCAAGTTCGCAGAAGTTGCAGACCCATTTGAAACTTCGGCTTCTTGCACGGCCGACTCAGTTTGACCAATGGGCTGCACTTCCCCTTCTGTTTTAGAAGATTCATAGGATGATGTATTCACAGTTGATGTAATAGCTTCAGAGTATGAGCTTTCAGCATTTCCAGAGTCCTTATCACTAACTTCCGTTTCAAGACGATCACTTTTAGCAACTAAAAGAAAGAAATTCTGTCTAGTAACTGGCACACATCTTCTTAACCCCCGCATCTGAAAGGAAGATGGGAAGTGTGCAACTTTCTGCAGAGAGGCACTCCTAGATAGATTCCAGTAGTTTGCCTGTAGCTTTCATTGAGAAGAAACAAATAAATCACTGAGACAAATAACACCAAATTCATGAATCAAGAACTGTGAGCATAACTCTCCATCTAGATAAAAATGGCAACCCTTAATCACAAACTACTTGAGGTCGCTATATGAATAATCCATATTTATTCCAGTACCTTTTGTCTTAGGATAGGACAAATTAAACTACTCTCACACACATCCCCCCAAAGCTGTCATACAATCTCTAACCAAAAACTAGAAAGACTCGTGTCAAATACTGGACCTAATGTAAGTACGTCAATAATGATTACTCTTAACCCCAACTAGTTAGTGTTGCCAACATGGGCATTTCACTTTTACTTTATCCTGCTATTTACTGAGCTTACATTGATTCTAGAAATTACATTTAATTGGAGACAACTTCCTTCAGGTCATTTTAGATTTACCTCGTCACATTATAACACAACTATCATGGAGACACACTTACTTACCAGAGCATTAGAGGTCTCCATAAAACATGATCAATCCATCTCAAACAACTTCATCTTCTTCTTTGTTCTCTATATGTTACTTGCACAAACTATCAGATGTAATCATTTTCAATCTTGTTTGATATCACATCTCCTAGCATCTATGTTTTCTATGATACCTAACTAGTTGATATACTGGGCCTTAGGGGCCCAACACTCTCTAATATAAAATTGTTGGTTCCACCATTACATGAAGGCATGCCTTATATGAAACTAGCCTTTTACTTTGGTATGGTGCTCCTATCGCACACAACTCTTATTCAAATCCTCCACTTAACCAGCGCATTTTAATTGTGTGTGTATATCTTAATCTATCATATTAATCTCCTCAAAGACTTGAGTGTAGACATCAGAAATATTTGCATTTAGACATCACAATATAAACAAATATCACCTGAACCTCATTCTTCAGACGTTGGCTAAACTTGTATTGCATATTATTTATCTTACTTGTATTAAAATTCTTGCTCTCTGCGTTGCTTCTCCACAGGTCAAGTTTTTCTCCACTAGTGTCATCAACACAACATTGTCTACAAATAGCATACTCTATGACACCATATTGTATATAATTCGCCTGATAATCCATGACTAGGATAAAGAAAAGGTATAGACTAGAGCAGTTCCTGGTGTAAAACCAAAGATATGGAAAACTCCTATATATCCCCCCCCCCCCCCCCCCCCTTGTTCTTACATGTGTGATGGCTACTCTGATATATCCTTTATAAAACTTATGTATATAATGGGACTTCACTTTTCTTCAGCACCCACAAAAGAACTTTTCTTGACATTTTATCGTATGTTGTACCTCACTGAATATCACAAGGAGATAATTCATTCTTTCATTGTGAACTTTCTTCAATTCTGAACAAAAATATAGCCTCCGCCTTGGATTTAAAAGGCATATATCCAAACTGGTTTTCTATGACCTTTATTAATGCCCATAAGCCTACTTTCTTTCACTTTTAAGCAGATCATTTGCTCTCATGTATCGAAACAACGTACTTCATTTCCACTTATTTGGCATCTTTCAACTACTAATATAACTATGAATAGCTTGATAAACTGTATTAATCCTAGCTATCAAATCATTCCCTAACCTGTATAAGAATACCATATGGACCGCAAGTTTGCTAATCCTCATATTCATAGCATTTGCCACTTGTGCAAATCTAATTCTAAGAGAGTAGCAAGGCTCTCTTAAACAGATATATCCATCTTTAAAGTTGTCCTCGTGATTTGAGTTAAGCAATGGATCAAAATAGCCTCTCCATCTCTCTTTGATTTCACTTTCTCATGTCAAAACTTATTGATAATTGTCTTTAATCAATTTAAACTGACGTTAAGTCCTTACCTCTCTTTTCTCTCAATTGTAATAGTTCATAAATTTATTTTTCCCCTTCTCATAATCCTAACTTTTGGTAAGAGAATCACTTAGGGCTTCTCCAACATCCTTTTATCTTAACTCTTTATCTCTTTTATGCTTTTCAAAATTGCTATACCACTCTCTTTTTTTTACAGTAACTGGAAATAGCACCTAGATATTCCTCCGCCAACAGGACTAGCCCTTTATTCAACCAAGCAAGTAGTACAAGAAGGTATGAAATTCGAATAAGATTATGGAATTTAGCCAAAAGCAGCATTCCCTCAATACTGTAGAGAGAATCATGAGAATTTCTAACCGATTCTAATCTAATAAATTGTTGCTTCTACTCCCTCTGTGCTATCAAATCACCAGCGTAATTTAGTATCGAATGACCGCAATTAACAGTAAGTATATGAGCAAAGCAATTTATGTTCCATTGAAGCAATGAATTTACAAGGAAATAAAGAGAAGGAGGTGACATACGGTTGACGGAAAGCCCAGAACGGAATTCAAAGAAGTAGCCATGGACTTCTTCTTTACGGTGTGTGGTTGCTCAAAAGAGTTGAGGCCCAACCATGAAATCTTGCTTGCAGGGAAGTGAGATGATGGAGAGAAGAGAAAATTCCACTGCAGCGCTGCTTTGCCTTCAGTTTCCCAAATGAATGGTGCTGATTGAGAGCTGTAATTATCCTCAACTATATTTTCTCAAGGGATCTCTATCAAAAGAAAAGAGAAAATACACAAGTTACACTCTTGTTTGGATCATTATCACCCATTGTTTCATAATGTACTATATTGTATTATATTATATTGTATTGTATTGTATGATAGATATAATATTTGGTTAAACTGTATTGTTTGTTGTTGTTTAATAATATTTTTATTATTTGGTTTGAATGTATCGTACTGTATTGTAATTTATAAATTTACTAAAATATTCTTAATTATTCTTGGGTAGGAGGTTTGATTAGAATTAAATAATATATGATAAAGGGTCAAAAAGTATTATGAAATATTATGTCATGATATAATTGAAAAAAGAAATTAAGTAATAATGGGAACACACCAAATCGATTGTTCCATAAAATGGGGGTTTTCATTGTTACGTAACAACGAAATTTAATAATACAACACAATACATTTTAAGTAACAATCAAAACAAACATTGTAGGTATAATAACGATAAAATACAATATAATGGGTAACAATGATTCAAACATAGTGTTAATCTCTGGCAGCATTTGGTTGATTTAAAGTTAAAGTTTTATTTGAACGTATTATTTGATTTTCTTAAATTGTACTATAAATTTAAAAGTTTCATAATTTATGAAACTTGTTATAAAACCATTGAATTGTGGATGTTTCTTTTCATCAACAACATAACGTAATGAACTTATTTAATGTAAGACTTAAAGTTGTGCTAACGTATTTGGTTAAACGATGTAAAAGGGTGTTTTCTAAATCCTATAAAAGGGTAGTCATTTCACCCTTATGAAATACACATTGAAGAGTTCAAAGAGTACTTCTACTTAATATTTTTATTTGTCTTACCTCCTTGTTTAGTATTATAATATTTTGCTCTCATTTCACAACACGTTATCAGCACGAGTCTCTAACCAATTGAGACCTACTTAATTCAAAATTAATTCCTAAAAGTTAATCAACTTTCTTTTAGAGTCAGGTATACATTTATGTGTTTATAACATCTCTAATAAGACTTGCATAAATCTTTGATCCGTAATTTAATTACTACATATATAACTTGCTATAGGTATTATTATAATACTTTACTAGGCATAATAATCAATACGTTTCAGGTTTATATTTTTATGTTGTTTATATGCTACTAACTTATAACTCTAAATTAAATAGTAGGAAATGTGATAACATGCTAGTTAGAAGACTTGTAAATATTTTCTTGTCATAAATTTATGATAAATATTTGTGTGTCATAAAGAGAGTAGTATTATATTAAATATGACTTGAAAAACTTACAAAAGTTTGACGTTAATAACTATTGAAACTAGAAATAAATATTGAAAAATAATTAGAACATATATTAAAACTACCATTTCATACTTTATGAGTTTACATGTTTTTGTAACATTCCATGTTCATGCATATAATATACTTTATACTAATTCTTAATCATTTGAAACATAAATTTATCTTTTATTATAAAGAAATCACATCATGTTATTAACTCAACTATTTTATGATAGTTTTCAACATGTCGAATTTATCAAAGCTTGAATTTGTGGCACTTGACATTTCTGGAAAGAACTATTTGTCATGGGTACTTGATGCTGAAATTCACCTTACCGCTAAGGGTCTTGGTGATTGTATAATCGAAGGAAATAAGGCATCAAATCAGGATAAAGCGAAAGCTATGATTTTCCTTCGTCATCATCTTGGTGAAAGCCTGAAGGTTGAATACTTAACAGTGAAAGATCCACTTGAATTATGGATAGGTTTGAAAGGGAGGTATGACCACCTCAAGGCAACTGTATTGCCAAGGCCTCGTTATGAGTGGATGCACTTACGGTTTCAAGATTATAAAATTGTAATTGAGTATAACTCTGTTGTATTTAGAATAACTTCCCAATTGAAATTATGTGGGAAAACTATAAAAGATGAGGACATGTTGGAAAAGACACTAACTACTTTCCATGCCTCTAATATGATATTACAACAGCAATATCGTGAAAAAGGTTTTTAGAAATACTCTGAACTAATCTCATGCCTTTTGGTGGCTGAGCAGCATAATGACCTTTTAATGAAAAATCATGAAGCCCGTCCCACTGGAAGTGCTCCATTACTGGAGGCACACGAGGTAGAAGCACACGGCCAGTCTGAAATAAGATAAAATAATCGAGGCCATGAAAATGTGTGGGCGTGGCAAAGGCAAAAGATGATATAATAATCGTCGAGGTGGTGGTCATAACAAAAGAGAGGACAATATGGGTTCTCAAAATAATCCATCTAAAGGAAAGGGCGATCACTGTCATCGTTGTGGCCTTGAAGGTCATTGGAAAAATAAATGTCGGGCACCTGAGCATTTTGTCAGGATGTATCAGAATTCCTTCAAAAGAAAAGGAAAGAAAGGCGGTGTCTCCTCTTCTAATGCCCGGGTGGAGTCACATTTGACTCTCAAGGATGATGCTCAAGCAGGATCTTCTCAAAAATATGATGAGAATGTTGAGGCAAATTTAGCATTGAAAGATGATGCTTTGATGGGCTCGATGATATTACTCATCTAGAAGTTGAGGACTTCTTTGGGGATCTCAACTGAAGATTGATAATTAAACTGGGAAATGAATAATGTCCTTATGTGTTTTTAATGTATTACTTATAGTTCATGTCCTTAAATTTTCTTTTGTTAAGTTTCGTACTTCTTATTAGGTATTTTTATTTTTGTGAAGATAAATAAAATTTTCCAGTCTTCAGTTGGATCCAAGATGAATAATGGAGATATGTGCCTTCTGGATAGTGCCACAACTCATACAATACTAAGAGAAAGGAAATATTTCTCTCATTTGATAATGAAAAAGGCATATGTTAATACAATATCCGGTAGTACAAAATTGATTGAAGGCTCTGGAAGAGCGGCCTTATTACTACCTGGAGGAACAATATTAATAATTAATAATGCATTGTATTGTAGTAAGTCTCAAAGAAACTTATTAAGTTGCAAGGTTATTCATCAAAATGGCTATCATGTTAAGACTGCAAATAAAGGAAAGGTGGAATACCTTAACATTACTACGATAAATGCGGAGAAGAAAACTGTGCATGAAAAATTATATGCACTTTCTTCTGGATTGTACCATACCAATATTGGTACGGTTGAATCACATGCCATAGTAAACAAAAGGTTTACTGATTCCAATGATTTTGTCATTTGGCATGACCGATTGAGCAATCCCGGTTATAATATGATGCGCAAAATAATTGAGAATTCACATGGGCATACTTTGAAGAACCAAAAATGTTCTTCAATCAAAGGAATTCTCTTGTGCTTCTTGTTCACAAGGAAAGTTGATTACCAAACCATCAACGACTAAGGTTGGAGTGGAATCTCCCACATTTTTGGAACGGATACAGGGTGATATATGTGGGCCTTTTCATCCTGCATGTGGACCATTTAAATATTATATGGTCTTGGTAGATGCATCTACAAGATGGTCTCATGTGTGCTTATTATCAACTCGCAATATAGCTTTTACGAGGTTGTTGGCTCAAATAATAAGGTTAAAAGCATAATTTCCAGATTATGCAATAAAAATAATTAGTCTTGATAATGCTGGTGAGTTTACATCTCAGGCATTTAATGATTATTGTTTGTCCACTGGAATAACAGTTGAACATCATGTTGCACATGTTCATACTCAAAATGATTTAGCAGAGTCATTGATTAAATGTCCTCAATTGATACCTAGACCATTGTTGATGAGAACAAAGTTGCCTGTTTCGGTTTTGGGGCATGCTATTTTGCATGCAGCGGTCCTTGTGCACATAAGGTCAACCAGTTATCTTGACATCTCCCCATTACAATTGGTTTTTGGTCAGGAGCCAAACATTTTCCATCTTAGAATCTTTGGTTGTGCGGTATATGTTCCAATTGCTCCACCACAACGCACAAAGATGGGTCCCCAAAGAAGGTTGGGGATGTATGTTGGGTATGAATCTCGTTCTATTATAAAATATTTGGAACCTAGAACTGGGGATTTATTTACGGCAAGGTTTGCTGATTATCATTTTGATGAATCAGTATACCCAATATTATGAGGAGAACAAAAGCAGTTGGGAAATGAGATAGATTGGAATTCACTTTCACTGTCTCATTTAGACCCTCGAACAAATCAATGTGAGCAAGAGGTTCAAAGGATAATTTATTTGCAGAATATTGCAAATCAAGTACCGGATGCATTTACTAACCTTCCACGGGTTACTAAATCATATATCCCAGCTGCTAATGCTCAAGTTCGAGTTGATGTCCCGATAGGACAAAATGTTAAGGCAAATGAGTCTGGACCACATTTAAAATGTGGTAGACCAATTGGTTCCAAGGATAAAAATCCTCGCAAAAGGAAAAGAATAAATGACCAAGATGAACATAATATGGAGGCAATTGCTCATGAAGAGCTCCGAGACATAATAAATGATGACACCAAAGAGGAGGTCCATGTACCTGAAAATAATGAGAATGAGAAAATCTCTATAAATTATGTCTCGACGAGAAAAAGGTAGAATCGAAATAATATTGTGGTGGATAATATTTTTGCCTATAATGTTGTAGTTGAAATAATGCAACAAGATGAAGATTTGGAACCAAGATCTATCAATGAATGTAGACAGAGAATTGATTGGCCAAAATAGAAGAAAGCAATTCAAACAGAATTGACTTCACTTGAAAAACGTGAAGTTTTTGGACCAATAGTCCGAACACCTAAAGGTGTCAAGCTAGTGGGGCACAAATGGGTTTTTGTGAGAAAACACAATGAAAATGGTAAAGTCGTAAGATATAAAGCACGACTTGTGACACAAGGTTTTTTGCAAAGGCCTGACATTGATTATGAGGAGACATATTCTCATGTGGTAGATGCAATTACCTTCAGGTATCTAATAAATATGACAGTTCATGAAAATCTTGAAATGCATCTAATGGACTTTGTCACAGCCTAGTTATATGGCTCACTAGACCACAATATTTTTATGAAAATCCCTGAAGCACTAAAAGTTCCTGAAAAGTATAAAAATTCAAAAGAAAGTTGCTCAATAAAGCTTCAGAAATCCTTATATGGATTGAAACAATCAGGGCGAATGTAGTATAATCGTCTTAGCGAATACTTGTTAAAGAAAGGGTATCAGAATGGCCCTATTTGTCCTTGTATTTTTATACGAAGGTCAAAGTCTGAATTTGTAATAATATCTGTTTATGTTGATGATTTGAACATCATCGGAACTCTTAAAGAGCTTTTAAAAGTTGTTGAGTGTTTGAAGAAAGAATTTGAAATGAAAGATCTTGGTAAGACAAAATTTTGTCTTGGCCTTCAGATTGAACATTTGACAAATGGAATATTTATCCATCAATCAACATATACTGAAAAGGTTTTGAATCTATTTTACATGGATAAATCACACCCACTGAGTACCCCATGGTTGTGAGATCTCTCGATATAAAGAAAGATCAATTCCGACCCCAAGAAAAGGATGAAGAGATTCTTGGTGATGAAACACCATATCTCAGTGCTATCGGGGCACTAATGCACCTTGCCAACAATACCCGACCAAATATTTGCTTCGCATTAAATTTATTGGCGAGATTCAGCTCATGTCCAACAAGAAAACATTGGAAAAGTGTTAAGCATATATTCATATATCTTCAAGGAACAATTGATATGGGGTTGTTGTATTATAATGCATCCAAGTCAAAATTGATCGGTTATGCAAATGCGGGATATTTGTCTGACCCACATTAAGCTAGATCTTAGACATGCTATTTATTCACATATGGAGGTATAGCTATATTATGGCGTTCGATGAAGCAAACAATAGTTGCTACTTCTTCAAATCATGCAGAGATAATAGCCATTCATGAAGCCAGTCGAGAGTGTGTATGGTTGAGCTCAATGACTCAACACATTTTGCAATTATGCGATCTTTCTGTGCAAACAAAGACTCCAACAATATTATGTGAAGATAATGTTGCTTGCATAGCTCAATTAAAGGGAGGTATCAAGGGAGACCGAACAAAGCATATTTCACCTAAGTTCTTTTTCACACATGATCTTCAACAAAATGGTGAGATAAATGTTCAACAGATTCGTTCGGGTGATAATCTTGCAGATTTATTCACTAAGGCATTGCCAACGTCAACATTTGAGAAGTTAAGATATAAGATTAGAATGCATCGTCTCCGAGATGTCAAATAAAGTTTTCATCAGGGGAGTAAAATACGCGTTGTACTCTTTTTTCCTTAGCCAAGGTTTTGTCCCATTGGGTTATCCTGGTAAGATTTTTAATGAGGCAACACTCAAGGCATATTACAAGATTGTGTGTACTCTTTTTCTTTCACTAGGTTTTTTCCCATTGGGTTTTCCCTAGTAAGGTTTTAACGAGGCACGTTATCTATAAACATCCAAGGGGGAGTGTTATAAAACCATTGAATTGTGGATGTTTCTTTTCATCAAAAACATAACGTAATGAACCTATTTAATGTAACACTTAAAGTTGTGCTAACATATTTGGTTAAAGGATGTAAAAGGGTGTTTTCTAAATCCTATAAAAGGGTAGTCTTTTCACCCTTATGAAATACACATTGAAGAGTTCAAAGAATACTTCTACTTAATATTTCTATTTGTCTTACCTCCTTGTTTAGTATTATAATATTTTGCTCTCATTTCACAACAAAACTTTAATAAAAACTTTTTCAATTTCTATTATAATCTAATCAAATGAGTTAATTATGATTCATAAATAAGGTATCATAATATTCTAAAATACTGCATCAATAAATTGCACATATTTATGTTACTTTTGTAAATAAATGTTTGTGCAAACTTTCAAATATATATAATTTTACAAAAATATGATGATTAATAAAAGTAGTAATTAGTTATTTTTTTTATATAATTCTTCCATGTACAATATCTTCACGTTATGCATAGGACCGAATCGAATTTAAGTACAATCTCTTCATATCAATTGACTAGATTATCTTTGTATGGATGGGCATATATACTAAAAATTGGATCGAATCAAATTTAAAAATTAAACTAAATTGAACGAAACTTTAAGAAAACACTTAACTTCAAGTTAATGTTGCTAACATTTCATTTGTAAAAGGTTTAATTAAGGCAGCTG